CCCAGAAAAGCTGCAGCAAATACGCTGAGGGGATTGCAAGCTGGAAAAAGACCGCGTGCAGAGCCGGTGAGTGCGCATGCCGTGCTTATTTTCTTCTTAGGTTCTATGTGCAAAACGACCAGATGCCGGAAGCCAACCACAGAATATGCTGCCGCTGCAGCAAAAGGAGGGAGGACATGCGAGCTATCTCTGATGCAGTCGATGCAGAGCTCTTCGGCAGTGCAGAGTTCGCTATGCACATCCTTGAATTGATCGAGATGTTCAGGTCTATGCCTCCAGCTTTGAGGGTCCAGATCAGAAGGATATTCGATAGCAGTGACGAGACATCATAGCACCGCCCGCATGCCGCGTGCTGCCTTAAGAGTTTCCGCAAAACCCTGAACAGATAAACATCCGGCATCACACTTGCAGGTGCTCGAAGAGGGAGAAGAGAGCGCAGACCATCGCGGCGACGTTGCGACGCAGGCCGCGCGCTTCCTGAAGCGCATCCCGGATGGCACTTGCGTCGTGGTGTTGCCGGTGGGGCAAGGCCTCCGAGGGGGCTTCCTGGGGCGGCTCTATCTCACCGCATGGGATCACAATCGCGCGAAGCCGAAGCCGCTGGGGAAACCTTGCAAAGGGAAGGGGTTGCTGGAGGAAGCATGTGGGACCAGCAGGGGCGCATCAATTGCACGTGCGATCGTAAGAGGCTGGCCCTAGATGCGCCGTGTGTCCACAAGATGGTGCTCGCGTCCCTCTGCGCGGGCTCCATCGCCACCAGCGTGCTACCGACCGCAAAGGAGATGAGCAGGGAGGCGCTCACGGTCGAGCAGCTGGGAGCCGACTCCAGCGGGGCCTTCTACGCCGTCAGAAACAGCCCGAAGGGGGTGAGCCCCGAGCACAGGATGCTACACCGGTCCACGGCGGGGTTGTGGTATTGCGAGGGAAAGCGGAATGGATGCCCGGCTCAGTACGACTGCTCCCATATCGCGGCTGCCAAGGTCGCGCTGACGCATGGGCAGGTGCAGCGCGCGGAGGGCTTGCTTCTGGACTCTGTTGCCTTGAGCAGGGCGACTCAGTGGATCGAGCACTGGGAGGGCAGACTGCCGCTGCTCGGTGAGGCCAGCGGTGGCCGGGGAGCTGGGATGTTTGAAGAGGAGCGACGTCCGCCTGCGGCGATTGCAACAGGAGAGCATGGGGGCGTGGAGTGTGCAGGGGGTGAGTGTTGGTGCCGAAAGCACCGGCTGATCTTTGGGGAGGCGCAGCCCCCCTCGGACGCCATGGACTCGGAAGGACAGGTGGAACTCGGAGCGAGCACCCCTCAGAGGCAGGTGCGTAGGGGAGCCAGGTATTGGGCAGAGCACGCCAGCGAGATGCCGAGGGGCGCACCTCGCAGGGCCGAAGAGCCGCCGGGGGATGCGCGGGGCAAGGAGGCCGTACATGGCTGGGTGGCTGCATGCCATAGCTGCAGCCTGACTGAGGTGCAGCAGCAGGGGTGCTCCCATGCGGAGGCGGAGCGCGTACGGGCGCCCATCATGCTATTGGGGACGGAGGCCGCGCAGATCACCCAACCCAAGCTGAGCAAGCTGGGCGACGCCCTCGATCATCATGATCCATTGATCGGCTGCCTCAAGGCAGGGCCGGTCCGAGTGAGCAAGCTCTGGGACTGTCACTTCCGAGAGCTGAGCGAGCTGGGCATGCTGAAGGCGCCGTGCCCGCTTCAGCCTCCCCCCTGCGGCGGCGAGTGGGTACTGCACAAGAAGCCGGCCCTCATCTCAGCCTCCACCTGGTCGCAGCAGGTGGAGACGAAGATATACTGCTGCCAGTGCCTTCATACGGCGCACACGGTGCACTTCTGCGGAGAGCATCTGGGCCTCTACAGCTGGACTCAGGGGACGATCCTGGTGCAGGAGAGTTTGCAGCTCATCCTGAAGGGAATGCAGCGCTCGGGCACGGCCTTCTCCGCCGAGCTCGGGAGGGATCAGGAGGCTTTCGCCCGATCCCCAGGGTCTATAGTCTTATCCGACGAGAGCTGGAGGCGGGCGAGCCTGGACTTCTTCAAGCTGGTCGGGCGGGAGATCTCAGAGTGCTGTACTATCTGTGGGCCCTTTCCAGAGGTGAGCATATCTTGCAGCGAGGTCTCCTTTGTGGGAAGCTCAGCCACGTCGATTGGAGAAAGGTCCGAGGAAGCGCGGTGCCTCCAACGAGGTCCCGGAGCGAGTTCATATTCAAATCACCGCTTATCTCATCGGCAGACACGTTTCGGGTTGAGGAAGTGGAGTGCCACGCTGTCATGTCCATGCTGTGTTATCAGTCGAAGGTTTGAAACACTCGAGTATTCCCGCGCTGTCTTCTGGACGCCGGCGTCATCCAATCTTAGGGTGAACACTCTGATCCTTTGCCAGCTAGTTTCCTTAAGCTCTTGCTCGTCTCATCCAGGTGCTTCTGGTTGACGGGATAGTGGGCGTGGCGAACTCGGATGGTGGGAAACGTCCTGGAGGCTTGGGCAGCTCCTCTCTGGATTGCAGACGGACGTTCGTCCACCCTAGCCGGCAAGCGGGGGGCGAGCTGCTCGAGAGGCAGCCCGTCTCCGGGCGGGACTATTGCAGCGCCGGGTTGGAGGGGGCTGGAATGAAACGAAGGCTGGTCCTGCAGCCGGAGCTACGAGAGCTCATCGCGCGCCTCTCTCAGCATCGCCCCACGTCAGAGAAGCTGGGGCAACGGCTTTGCGAGGTGGAGTACACGGAGCTGAAAGCCGGGCTGGGGCGGAAGGACGTGCAGGTGGTCCGGCGGTTCATTCCGGGCGAGGGAGAGCAGCAGCCGGTGGCCGCGGAGACCAGGAGGCGACTGCTCGCGCAGCAGTGCTCACGCAATGGTGCGTGAGAAGAACCGCGCGATGCTGCGGCTCCTGGAGGGCATTGAGGCGGACCTGCAGGCGCGCGGCATGAGCCCGCGGGTCTGAGAGTACTGGCCCTGAGAGTGGGGCGAGCTCCTTTACGATCTCGGGGCTCACGACGCCGATTGCGGAATCATCGGGCACTCGGGAGGCCTCGCAGTCATCCGCCGGTTGCTGCTTGGGGACGAGGCCACCCCGGAGAACCGCAGGCTGCTGGGGGCGCACAGCCCAATCCTCCGTCGTGTCTTGGATGCCCACGGCGGGACCCAGTTCCCCCGGTTCTTCCTGCCGGCTCTGCATAAGCTCTACGAGCTGACCTTGCTTGCGCGAGGGGGGACAGGTTTCGAGGATGCGGAGCGCGACGGCTGGGTGGTGGCGGCCCTCCGCCCGCTCGGGCATGCCGTCGAGTTGCAGCGGGTTGCTGCAGATAGGCCGTTGAACGAGCAAGAGGCGGCGTTACTAACGTATGCGGCCGCGACCGCTCGCTCTTGGCTGCACGGCGTCGAGACGCTCGAGCCGTCCCCAGCGCAGTGGACGGACATGAGCCAGCGGGAGCGGGACCTTCTCTGGCAGCGGCTCGGCCTCGACGAGGAGGGGGCCAGGTTGCATCCGCTTCCGCCGGGACACAGTTTCCGAGCCGAGCAGGATGCGCTGACGCACTACGCGTTGCCGCCGGGGTGACAGCAGAAGCGCGGGCTCCCGAGGTATTCCACCTTCGAGCACCCCGACGGCAGGAGCAAGACGTCGGAGGAGACCAAGTGCAACTCGGGGAAGACGGAGACCGAGTGGGATGCAGCGAATACCCCAGGGCTCACGCGAGGTGGCGGCAAGGCGAGCAAGCCCGGAGGTAAACGCCCGAACAAGAGCAGGGGGGCAGTCGTGTTTTGCTGCACCCATCGCGTGATCTACGGCTTCCACGTGATGCTGCGGGGGGAGAGCCCGAGGGACGTCTTCGCGGTCCTCTACACGCGGCTGAACCGGGGGCACCTCCCGAAGTTTCTGGTCTATGACAACGCCTGCGCGCTGCGAAACTACTCCATGCGCCGGGAGCCCGCCTTCTTTGCCGAGGTCACCTTCACGGTCGACCGGTGAGTACTTGCGACCCATTGCAATCGTGCCGGTATGGATGCAAGGCGATGGGGGAAGGGCCGTTAGGGCGATGCTATTAGAATGATAGCAAGTGGAAGAAAGAGAGGGCGTCAAACCAAAAAACCAAAACACCAATTATTTTAGAGGTTGTGTATATAGTATAGGCTGTATTAGATTCATAGAAATCTGATAGAGATCTCTAAAAATTTTGGTGTTTTTGGTTTTTGGTTTTCGGCCTTTCTCCTCTTGCTTTCTACTCACCCCGGCTGTTGCATGCCGCCAATGTTCTGCCAGCAGATCAATGTACCGATTCGTCCATTATCCTCTAGAGGCTTGCCCTGAGCTTGATCGTACATCATCCAACGCCCCCTGCAAATGTCGGTGCAGGTTCCATTACGCAAAAGCTGGTGCGGAAGTCCACAAGTGCGGGCCCAGCAACGCGACGGAGTTCTATGACGAGCTTCGGTGGGTCAACACGAGCGCGGTCGAGAGCGTCAACAGCTTCTTGAAGCGGTTTAGGACGCTGGGGTGGTACTCGGGGCTGGAGAGCTTCATGGTATTCCTCCCGATCCTTCTGAGCGGCTACAACGTTGACATGAAGAGGGTGGATGATGCCAAGCTGGCGGTAGCTATGCAGGCGAGGCAGTGGAGCGATGCCATCAGGGCAATGTTTTTAGAATGAGAGCAAGTGGGGGTTTAGAAGGGCGTCAAACCAAAAAACCAAAACACCATTTATTTTAGAGGTTGTGAATAGTATAGGCTTCACTATATTCTATAAATCTGATAGAGATCTCTAAAAAATTTGGTGTTTTTGGTTTTTGGTTTTCAGCCTCCCCCCTTTTGCCATTCACGCACCTCAACCTTGGCCGTTGCATGCCGCTTCTCTAACTCCTCTTGCCTGAGCAATCTGACTCCAATGTACGGCCTTCCGGAGCCGTATCCGTTAAGCTTAGGCACTTGTGGATGCTTACGGTCGGTGGTGATGTTGTGTGCCTTCAGGGCCTTCGTAAACGCCTGTGAAGTCATGCGCTGGTCCTCGCATTCCCTCGCCTTGTAGGCCGTGGACAACTCGCTCATCACAACCACTTCGTTGGGTCCAAGCAAGCACTCTTGCTCCAGAAACGTAGACAACGTATCATTTTCCTTCAGATATTCATTGCATGCTTCCGTAAAGACTCTGGGTCTAGGCCAGAGCACCTTTTGAATCTTGTCGTTGGCCGTCCGTAGCTTGTACCATTCATGTGCGCCCTCAAAGACGACCCTAGTAACGTCTTCGATACCCTCCTTCGACTCGAGATACATCTTCAGACCAACATCTGCCCTTCGATGGGTTGCAATCTCGGGATTGAATTCGGAATCCTCTACGTACTGATTTGGGTATACTTCCAGGACAATCCTACGCAGAAGGCCTTGATTGACCTCCTCCACTGGAATACGGGGTTTGTTGTTCGTCAGCAGAGCCAGCTTGTGAGTTGGAATGAAGTTCTTCATCTTCTCGAATAGCTCTCGGGCGGAGATCGAGCCTCCTCCCGTCTGCTCTTTGATCGTGGCGGCATTTATGATCTTGCCATCATCCAATTCGTCGGCGATGCCCATACGGACGCCTTGCAATTGGGCTAGATGACTCGTTGCAGCGCTCGCAGTATCGTCTTTGGTCTTCATGAAGATGTGCTTGGAGCAGATGATCCCGTAATCCCCCCAAGCAGCTAGTATTGCCTGCTTCAATGCCCCCTTCCCGTTCCCTCCTTCCCCCCACCAAAATACTACCAGCTCCTCGTCCGTATATCCGGACAGGCAGTATCCCAACCACAGGATTTTCCACCGTACGACCTCCTCGTCGCCATTTGCAACATCCAGCAGAAACTCCTTGAATCTAGACCGTGTCCCGATGGGTCTTGGATGATATTCACCACCCGCCATCAGGCTGCAAAGGTGGGAGGGGTGCGGTTTCATGAGCTTGCCCGTGGGGATGTACCCAACGCCATTTTGGAAGTTTACCAGCAAAGGATCCTTGTTCATGTGAGACGACAGGTCTGCGACGTACAAGTCCGTCACGACGTACTGAAGGCATTTCCTGACGACGGTCGGATCCTGCACATTGAAAATAATCGCTGGGAGATCCACTTTCACTTGACGCTCTGACTCATCTCTGATTTGCTTCCACTTGGGATCGCTCAGATATCTCTGCACCGCTGCTTTATCGATGGTCTTTAGAGCTGGATCCAATTCGCTCAGCTTGTCAAGGAAAATTCTCAGAAAGAGGCCAAGGCGTTCTTGTTCATACCAATTCAGAAGCGCGCCCATCTGAGCAGCAAACACACCGAGGACTTTGTTGCACGTATCCTCGATCCACCCACGCCCGTCCCAAAAGAAAAAGATCTTCTTCTCGCCCGTGTTCAAGATGCGGCCTTCAGTCTGGTAGATGAGGCTGAAGATTTTTGCAAGCCCTTCAAAAGGCTGCCCCCCCCCAGTGCGAGCAACCTCCGCAACAAAATTCAAGAATGCACTCCTGCCTTATTCAAGGTACTTCTTGAATATGTCGATCTGTTCTTTGGAAGACACTGGGTCGATCGTTGCGTCCTTCAGTGCAGCATCGAGTGTCAGCTGCCCGAGCTTTCTTACGGGCTCATGCGAACATTGATCACCATGGCAGCGATAGTACACGTTGCGCCCACGCTTCAAAATGTTAAAATTGTTACTTCCGGAATGCTCACGTCCGAAGAAACACGTCCTGGGCCCTTGAGTCCGAAAGCAGTAGTAGGTCCCATGAATGCCATGCGGCAAGGCGCTCGCATACACGCTCGTCGAATCATTTGCCTTCTCTCTCAGCATTGTCTTGAGCTCACGCACGAGCAATTCGAGGTGCGCGGGAACCGAAGCCTCTCCGACCCACTCGGGGGCTGCATCTCCCGACGCCAAGGAGGAACTCGGAGCGCCCGCATCGGCGCTTGCAAAAGATGGGGGCGTCGAGAGGCCATCGCTCAGCTCTGCAGCGACCGGCGAGCTAGCACCAGAAGACCCTGCATTGATAACAGCTACAAGCCATGCGGGCATTGGTTTGGGTATCCCATCGCCCTCGGGGGCCCAGGTGTAAGTCTTCTTGTCTCGTCTCTTTCCCGTATAACAAGACGGCGGAGCAAAGCAAAGGCCACCCGTGCCACGACCGTCCAGTCCATAGGCGGGCCACATTGTCCACCACCAGCCCCGCAAAATTGTTCGTCCTATTCAGACCGATCGTTTCACTCCGACAGAAGTAATAATGGAACCCCCCTGACCCGGTCACCGCCTTCAGAGTTGCAGGCTCTCCGTGCGCGGCCACTAGCTCGCCCCAAAGCTCCGTACCGGCTTGTTTCTCAGCGCCCGACCTTTTGACTCTGGTGCTTGCAACGTCGATATCGATGCAGTATAGGTCACTCGGCTCCGTCAAGATTGCGAGGCCGTTTGCCTCGGACCATTGGAGGCAATCGTGGATGTGCGCCTTCCAATACTCGATTGATTGAAACGACTTCCAACCCCCGCTTGGAAATGCGGTCCTCTTCTTGCCGGCAGCGTCTGTGAGGATGCGCACGGGGACTGCATACACTCCGAGCCTACCTAGGCGCAAGATTTCCTCGTTGATGTCTATGATGTCGGATGCCGCAGGCCTGACGTCTTGGGCGCCATGGGTTGCGGCATCCTCGTCCCCCGGGGTCGGAGCCTCAGGGGTCTCGATTGCAGGGGCGTCGAGGGTGGGTTCGAGAGCGCAAGAGTTGTTGTTGGCATCCATGTCTTAGGTTCTCCCGAGATAAAAATCTTTGCATGAACGCGGACGGACTGGGATTTTTTTCGTTCGTAACTCCAACGGACTAATGGCCGACCATACCATCGACAATTTAAGCTACACCGACCAGCTGCGCACGTGCCCCTGCGTAACTTGCAAAACAATGAGGCGCTACGTTGAGAAAAACCCCGGCAGGCACAGCGAACATGTCAAAGATTACTACATTCGGAACCGACACGACATCCTGTTGACCAAGGCTTTTGAAAGGTACAAAAGCGGCATAAGAACTCAACAAAGGACCCTCGACAAGTTGCTTGCGGCTGGTTACCCTGTGACGGGTTCTGGAATCCCTGAAAGTCCTGAGGAAGGGGACGACATGATGAGGGTCGTAACAGACAGGTCGATCGAGGCCACGTAAGTCCGCTAAGTCGTATCTTCTGCTCTGATTACTGCCAAGCAATGGGAGTCCCGTCGGGCTTGTACTTTTTCTCGTAATGGGTCTGCTGAACGGCCACCAAATGCAAGCAAGATGACGCCTTTTCTGCCCGATCTCTCAAGGATGGTGCATCTTTGTACTCGTTCGATATCAGTATCTTTCGCATCAGGCCCGAACCGACATTTGCATCCGGCCAAATGGCCGCCATAAATTTCGAATAGTAATTTCGACCCATGGGAATCTCTGGCTTTTTCATACAGCTGAGCAGGTACCTCCTGGGGAAAACTGTCAGACTCTCTACGACCACATTGTTCATCCTGGTCGGAAATGTATACGTCTTTTCTCCGTATGTGCGGTCAGTTTTAAAGTATCTGAGATGGAATGTAAACTGTCCTTTTGCCGTTTCCATGATGTGATTTCCTTGCATCAGCTTTCGTATCGCTGATGAGCGGTGGTCTCTCATGAAAATTATTGGGGCATCTGAGTAGTCATTCCGCAATGTTGGTAGGTACGCGTACAAACACAAGATAAGATGGCGGATGAGGTCGATGCGATCCTCCATCGTAAGATCTGCAGCTTGCTTAGGGAGTATGACTCCCCGATTTACCCGACGCTGTAGCTCCTCGCGCCTCTTCGTGATCTCCTCGAGAGTCTTCCAGTTTGCCCCCTCATGCTCTGTCATTTGCTGCAGGGGCGGCCTTACGGCGTCCCTCGCCTTTTTGATTTCTTCATGTCTGTCGAAGTAAACCTTCCAGAGAGCCATATCCCGGAAGTGATCCTTTGCAATTATCATTAGAGTGAATATGTAACCATGCTGGGCTGGCAGCTTATGGAAATACGCACTCTTTAGAAACTCGATAAGTTCGGTGCAATCCGTCTTGACCCACCGCAGATCCTTCAGCTCCTCAGACCCTTGGAAGAAGTGTGCGTGTAACCGCAGGGTCTGTGCAACGTATTGGCGCAGGGTGTTCTCTTTTCTGAGGTTATTATGCGGCCTTGACAATTTCCTCTGGCGTTGCCTCAACCTCGATGTGCTTGACACTAGCCATCAATCACTACTATGCACATAGCTACGAAAATTTTGACCGTGACTCTGCCCCGCCTCGGCCACATACATGACTGGGGCTTGTCATAATCTTTTCACAGGCGAGTCGAGATTCCACTCATAAATGCAATAACCCAACGATTGTTTTGATGCACAATGGGAACTTATGGCAAACAGCCCTAAAAGGAGCCTCAGCTATTCGCGAATAGCTGAATGGAGCTACATAGGTGAATGGATCATGTCAAAATCTCGGACTGTGGGTCGGAACAGTTGTTCAACTAAGTGTTCACAATCCAGGTGGCTCAACAAACCGGTTATTTCATTGTGACGCCGCCAGAATCCTTGGATATCGACCCATCCGAGCCATTGTGCAAGTCTTCGGTTATATACTCTGTTCCAAACTCAAGCTTCGAGTCAGACATCGAATCGTAATTGGACTACTCTCTGTGTTTTGCCGTCCGAATCAATTTAGTTGGCCATGTCCAAAAATCTCACATAGTTCGAGGGTAAGTGGACTAGATGGCATATACGTGCAAAGGCGAGGATAGTGCAAGCCAAGCGACCCGAGCTTCAGACTTCGACATCGCCTGCATTATCAAAGTGCATTCTGGCCAGGTCGTCGACGTCGCGCTGAGTGCCAATAATCAGCACTGAGAAACTCCCATCAACCGAGACCTCGACCGGAACCTCCAGCACGTCCTTTAAGATTATGCACCGTCCATAGCCCAAAACGTCGATTCCCGCCATCCATGCTTGCGCATCCTCGTTGAGATACCAGAAATATTCAGGCAACTCAATCTGACCCCTGCAATCGTGGGTGGTGACCTTGAAGCGATGCAGGTTGTCACCCCTGGTCGGAGCTTCAACAAAGCAGTGTTTCGACCGAGGGATTGCAAACGACTTTTCTTCATCGGGATGCAAGTTGTTCTCGAAATTCGAGTCTTCAAGGCGCATCTCCAGGTCCTTCTCTGACTGTGACTGCAGTACAAAACCCAAGGCGTAAGAGCGAGGTTCACAAGTTAGGCGTTGTGTGATGTCACCCATAATGGTATATCTATGACAAGTCTGAGATTTTAAAAGACTCTTAAAATCCACGCGATCATGCCAGACGCCTCGAGGAGCCCGGGCCCAAACTCCAAATATGCTGTCGATTGCCAATGGGCTTTGGAATCGATGAGGTA